ATGAATGTGTGTGTGTTTATTCTTCACGATTATGGTCCCGCGGATCAACCGATTGGAAATATCCAAAAAACATTTAATTCCTACTGATGAGAGACGTGCTGATTAGTTTTTGGCAAAGATAGGTCTAGCCGTTTCGGAGTTACCGAGAAAGAAATCCAGCCGTTTCGGAGATTTTTGAGAGAACAGACAATCCGATTTAAATGATTTAAAAACCATGCAAATCGTAATGTGGAGAAGTGGTTATTAGATTTTGGTAGATTCTCGTTTTCGCAGAATAAATATTTAACTATATAAATGCAGTGTTTTTTGTCAAAAAGTAATTAGTTAAAAATGTTCCAAAATTGTACAATTCCAATAATTTTCATTTACTTTTATTTTATATTCTTTGCTGAATCTTAAATAAGAAACTATTTCAATCATTCCAAAAACAAAGAGTGTAGTTTTAAATCATGTAAGAAAAATATCTGTACAACTGAAAATTGTCAACATTCTTTGATTTCGTGTAGATAGTATGGATTGAAACTTCCAATTTTCAATTTGCTGTCTATTATTCCTTCATATTATTTCATTTTATAAAGAGTAGTAAAGATATAACTAATGAGAAAATTATATTAGAACCAGAAGATGAGATAATGAATTGCGAGATTTAAAACCAATTGCTATATTATTAGTTCCAATTACATTGTTAGATTCATGATTATTAATATTATGATTTATGTTTTTATTCTAAATATCTAAATGGTTATAAGCAATGTGCCATAATATGTGTTCAATAATTATATTTATATTAGCATTATTGCATTTTTATTTGTTATTTAATTATTTTTGATTGAAATTGGTTGCAGTTTATTATTTGCGTACCACAAGAATTTGTTTAAATTAAACTCTGATTAGTATGATTTATAATCTACATCCGTTATCGGTCTAAATTTTTTACATTGCAAATTTTATCAATATACAAATATTGTTTTCGTAATAACAAACAAATTTTTTTTCCATATTAGTGCTTTGCGATAACTTTTATTAGTTAATTAAAATACAAACATACTTCGCATTCCAAATTGTACTACCTGCAAAGTATTTCAAGAATGAGTTGTATATGCTGTGAGTAATTGTTAGTTTAACGGACGAAAATAATAGTTACACTGTTTAAACACACTCCTTTAGTAAATAAATTAAGTAGCAAAAAGATTTTTTTATTCAATTGTTAAAAGAATAGTCGAAGGCTTTACGCTCCATTCTTAAAAATAGTTCGCTAAATTCGATAAACAAATATGTACGCATATATCATATTTATTGTCTTACTTGCCATTTTTATCTTACATACCTAAAAAAAGATTGCATTCGATAGAAAATCTTCTTTGTTGATTTTGTTTTCTCGATTCTCTCCAGTATTAGTAGTTAGAGCTATGGGAATTCAATCAGAAACTCCGGGTTCAAAACCTGCCTCGGACAGACTAATGTCAAGCAGTAGTGACATCGTTTTTCACTTGGAAAGTAGGTAACAATATGTTTCCAAGTAAAAAGGCCCTCGTCTGCATTGCTGCAATGAAAAAAATCATCAGTATTAATGAGATTATAATTACAATTACAATACAAATTCAAAAATTAGAGACAGGTCTAACGTTAGATAGCCTTTCTAAAAGCCACATAGTTAAGTTCATTCATGATAACACCATATGAAGCCCTTAAGTTGTGCTCACTTCTTTAATAAATTAAAGCAGTGATTATGAATTGAGTAATTTTTAAAAAGTCTTACACTTTATAATACGGTGCTGCATATATTCCGGAAACATAATTAGGCCGGCAACTAAGTAATTACGGATTTTAGTTAAAAATCAAAGATTTTTTCATGGTACTAAATGATTTTATTCTATAATATATTGTAGATTTGTATCAATGACTTTTTGTCATCTTCTACGCAGTAGTAGGTATCATTTCACTTTTATAAAACTCTGGTTTTTATTGGCGAATGACTGAATGGCCGTAGGTAAGCGGTTAAAAGCGGGGGGACTTGTTTCCGAGGTCCCGAGTTCGATACCCTCTTCGAACAGCCTGTTGTCAGGCAGCAGTGATAACGATTTTCACTAATAATATATCACACAGAGATGTGACAATTGGGTTGCCATCCGTCAAACAGACTAGTATTAAGTCAAAATAAGCACAACAGCTCATAGGACTATTAGTTTCTGATTAGGCCGTTCAAAAACACAATAAAATTGCAAAAATGACAATTTTTTATTTGATTTTTCATTGTTCAATGAACTTCAAACAAATATTATGCAATGGACCACAAAACTTTTTTTACTTAGGAACGTGTAAATTGCTTACTCTGTAATTATAGTAAACAAACTTAAAAATTCAATAGGAACCTAGCTGAAAACCACATTAGGTTGGCAACTACGTAACTAAGCCAACCTAATACAATTTAGTAAATTTGATTCTGATAAGAATTGTTGTAGAAGAAATTGTAAAAGTTTAAGAAACTAGAAAGAAAACAGATGATTGTCGACATGTTTATGTAGAAAATTAAAATCAATGAGCTATTGAGAAACAAATTTAAAATAACTTCTCTAAAAATTAAAGTCCAAACTAAAAATAATTTTTGCTTATCGATATTAGTGGTGTATGGCATCGTACCTTAAAGCAAATTCCCGGAACTTCCCGTACCTTAATGAAATATTCGAGGAATATTAAATGTTTTCAAATAGATTATTATAATTATTTGAAGTATTATAAGTGATGTCTAGAACTGTAGCTAGAATTAGAATTAAAATCCGAATTATTTTTCTATATTCAAAAATATTTTTTTTTGAAAATTAAAAAAAAAATTCTTTTCCCAAAGCAATTGTTTCGTCAACACAACCAGAAATTTCTTTCAAAAACTGTAATTTTCTGTACATTTAGCCCTGTATCCCCAAAAAAGCTAAACCTGCCTTTGCCAAAATCGAATCACCACTTCTCCCCACCATTACGAATCGAATGTTTTTTTGGATCATTCATATTGGTTCTTCCATTTTTTAAAAAACTGCCATTTTTAGCACTTTTTGATCCACATTTCCGAAACCGCTGGAATTCCCTTTGCCAAAAACTAATCAGCACATTCGCCTATGAATAGCAATCGATTGCTTTCTGAATTTTTTAAATCGGCTTATCCATACGCTCGAAATAGTTGACGAAAAATTGTCTCCACATACAAACACACGCACGCATCCATTTTTTCTGTGGTATGCCAGAATGATCAAAAACCCCTGAAACGTGAAGAAATGCAAAAAACTTTATTTTCGATTTTTGGCATTACTATAACACCGTACTGGAAGTTAATAAAAAAAATTGTACTAATAATAAAAATATATACTAATATTATAATTAAAATATATACTACTAAAAATTATAATTATTATGATGCACGAAATCTAATATACCGTATTTGCTTAGAACTTCTACTTGTATCGGAATATAAAGGTTTACTCAATAATTATCTAGTGATTCATTTTTTCTTACCTAAAACATTTTCTTATAAATAGAAAAAATCTTGACAAAACATAATGTTTATAAATAATTTTATTATTTTATTTTTAACATAAATTGCCAATTAATATTTGTAATTAAAGATAATTTATAAAAAAAAATATTTGAATTCAAAAACCTTAAATTAAAATGCCTGTACAAGAAATAACTTTATAATAATAGTTGTTCTTGTAAAATAGAAATCAAACATTTTTGTTCGACAGTTTGTTGGATACTGCTCTCTGCTTTATTACGAATACTGTTGTATCTCTATAGTTCCCATAATTTTTCTTCCAAGTACAAGTAAATTCCTCAGAGCTTTTAAACCAGATTATGAATATTTTCTACAGTTCAGTAGTCATAGTATACATTGCCAAATGGGCCCTTGCTAACAAAAATTAATTTTATGTGCGACTCGAAACGACCGACAAAGTTCCGCTATATGAGGCTAGAGATAATTCCACCGGTCGGCAATACGACAGGTTACTGTTATCCAGAGTCCCACCGAATATGTGATCATATATATACAAATATATATATATATATATATATATATATATATATATATATATACGAATACATATATACATAAATACTCGTATAGTAAATATTTAGGTAAGATTGGCGTTATTAATTTGCAAACACTTTTCGTTTATTTTTAAAGCTTCAGAAATCCAACTAGCGGAAAATAGTTAAGGTTATAGAGGAAACTGGATATGGTTAAATAGCTGGGAGAAAAACTTAATTAGCTAAATTTACCAGTTAGCTGGAAGAAAACTAAATGAAGTAGTAATTTAAACATTTGCTTATGTGGAAATACTGACATTCTGTACTAAAATACGATGGATCACTCATAAAATAAAATAAAACAAAAAAGGGCTAGTGACACAACCGTTCACATCCGAGGGACGGTTGTGACAAATTTCAGGGGTACGGTTGGCATGTATTTCTTGTTCTTTTATGTGAAGATTAAATAGATAAAAAATATCTAACTCCACTAAGACAAAATAGAAAAGAGAAAGGAAAAGAAAATTCAATATAAGATAAAAAGATTTCACAAAGAACTTCTGTTAATATCCGAGGGACGGTTGTGACAGTGATTGAAGTCAGGCAGCAGACAAGGAAATAGGATAAAAACGATAGGTGTAATTGCGAAAATAGTTCATAACGACTTTTATTATCGATAATAACAATAATTTGTAATAACATAGGACACAACATAACATAAGCATTTAAATAAAGCTTATAAATGAAATTTAAGAATATATAACTGACAATAAGTGAAAGCAATAATAGTATATGTTATTTCTCCCCTTAAATCATATCATAAATACGAGTATAGTTTAGCTATTATGACGACGGTCACTGATCAAATCATGGCACAACCGTACCCAATCTCCCCTACCTGTCCTATAGATATAAATAAATATACCTATCTATCAAAATTAATCTGATTTATTAACTGACAAACTATTCATAATTCGTTTCAGAAAAATTAGTGTACTATAGTACGGATCTACGCATAATTCCAATATTGCGCACAACTGCTTATAATGAGGAAAATTTTTGGTGAGTTTTTTTTGTATAAGTATTTTTAATAATAAGAAAT